GCCTAGTATTGTTTACCTGATAACCTCAGTGATTCTCAAGATATTTTTTGATAGGAAAGTCTTTCCTTGAATTAATCCTGCCTAAAAGGAGGGAAAATGAGTCTGTAGCTGCCAGTCAGTGTTGTTATAAAGCTTCCCAACACTTTTTCTTGTCTAAATCCTGGAGCTAAAAATGTCCTATTCACTCACTGAACAGTGGTTAACTTCCACACTAGAGAAGGAGAGGATCCAAGACCAAAAGCTTGAGATCTGTTAACTGAGAGACTTCCATTTCCAGAGTGTGAAGATATATAGTTGTCTGGCTTACCTCATTTTCCCAGAAGACTCAAAGATTATTTTATGAATAATTAGGTACTAAATAAATAAACTAAAAGAACCAAAGAGAGATTCTGGGGAAATGACTCTTAGGTAAACTGAAATCCGAAAATGGAGGCGTCATTCTCTCTAAAAGCTGCTTTTTTTACTCACTGAAATGACCATGAGGATTATTATCACTGCTTCTGAGAAAGATATAAGGAAAAATAGGATGGGAAAAAAGCGAAACAGTGACTGTGGAAAGCAAAGAGAAGGAAACCTGATTGTGAACACTCATCACCCTATGCCTTTGTTTACTGTTTGTAATATCCTTCTCACTTCTTTGTCTGATTAACTCCTACTGATCTTTTAAGTCACAGAGGGTATCACCACGTTGGGAGCATAACCTCAACTCTCACTCCCCCATCACAGACTGAGCTACGTGTTATTCTGGTATAAGATCCACAGGTATAAATTTCTGTATTATAAGCACTTACTACACTCTTTTGAAACTAGTGTTGGAGGATTAGGAAATTCAGGGAAACACTCTTCCCATATTTTATAAAAAACAGCATATGAAATCCCTTGGAGTCACTTAAAAGAACAAGGCAACATAGTATGTACAGATATGAAAAGATTACAATATATTAAGTGAAAAAATGAATTGTTTACCTTCTGGTTCCCTAAAATAGAAGAACATGAAGTGTGTACATACGTGTACACATGATCTTTTCTGGAAAATCACACAAGAAAGCAAAAATATGGGTCGGGAGACTTTATTTTTATTTTTAATATCTTTCTATATTATTTGAATTTTCTATGTTGATTTTTTACAAATTAAGTTACTAACAGGGACTCTCTGGTTCCGAGGATTAAGGGCTATTTTTTTTAATCCCTTGAGAGTGAACATGGTATCTCATACATTTTAATATCATCACTGCTTAGCACAGTATGGAACACAGCTGGCATTCAATGAATGTTGAACTGAACTGAACTCTGCTTGGCATCTATTTGAGTTTTTTACTTTTTTCCAAAGTACTGACTTTTTATGAGCCTCTCCTCATCTCTACTATACATGAAGTACCAAGTACCATGCCTTGAAAATAGTAGCTAGTCAAGAAATGTTTATTCAATCATATTGTCTCCTACCAGTATGAAATGCAGCTGCCAGGACACCTAGGTGGCTCAGTGGTTGAGCATCTGCCTTTGGCTCAGGCTGTGATCCCGGGGTCCTGGGATCGAGTCCCACATCGGTCTCCCCATGGGGAGCCTGCCTTTTCCTCTTCCTCTGTCACTGCCTCTCTCTCTGTGTCTCTTATGAATAAATTTTAAAAATCTCAAAAAAAAAAAAAAAAAGAAAGAAAGAAAGGAAAGAGAGAAAGAAAGAAAGAAAGAAAGAAAGAAAGAAAGAAAGAAAGAAAGAAAGAAATGCAGCTGCCATTACAGTGATAGTGATTTTTTTTCTACTGCTAGTCACTTGTTCTAAATTATCTATTCAACACTCATTATACATACATTATACAAACACTGATCTCTAGGCATCATGTTTGAGGCAATGTGCTTAGCATCTAAAGATACAAAAGTGACCAAGAACCAGTATCTACACTCTAAAGACTCATAAACATATCAGCTCTTTCCATGGCAGGAAAGAAGCAGGAGTGACTGAAGATGCAGATGCTACTATCTTCCCTCTCCTTTCAGATTCTTCAAAGACTTCTCCACTGAACATGCCCTAATCAAGTATATTTTTCATTTTTGTTCAAATACATGGTCAATAAACACTTGTCAATAGTTTAATGCAATAATCTCTTAGAAAAGGTACCTAGGGGTACCTGGGTAGCTCAGTTGGTTGGGCGGCTGACTCTTGATTTTGGCTCAGGTCATGACCTTGGAGTCTGGGACGGAGGCAGCATGGGGCTCCACACTCAGGAAGGAGTCTGCTTGAGGATTCTCTCTCCCCCTTTCCCTCTGCCTGCCCCTCCCTTTGTTCGTACATGCTCTAAAATAAATAAATCTTAAAAAAAAAAAAGTACCTAAAGGCTGATATAAAATGGATAGACTTGGCAATCCCTGGGTGGCTCAGCGGTTTAGCGCCCGCCTTCGGCCCAGGGCACAATCCTAGAGTCCCGGGATCGAGTCCCACGTCGGGCTCCCAGCATGGAGCCTGCTTCTCCCTCCTCCTGTGTCTCTGCCTCTCTCTCTCTCTCTGTCTCATAAATAAATAAATCTTTAAAAATAAATAAATAAATAAAATAAAATGGATAGACAAACAAGTGAGTATTCATTCTCTTAATTTTTTTTCTACCCTGGCAAATGGCTTTTACCAAACCCTTTAGGAATAGAATTAGAGAACTAGACATGATGAAAAATGTACCAATGGTACTTCCTGGTTGCCATAAAATAACGAGTCCCCTTGGGATCCCTGGGTGGCGCAGCGGTTTGGCGCCTGCCTTTGGCCCAGGGGGTGATCCTGGAGACCCCGGATTGAATCCCACGTCGGGCTCCCGGTGCATGGAGCCTGCTTCTCCCTCTGCCTGTGTCTCTGCCTCTCTCTCTGTGTGTGTGTGTGCGTGTGACTATCATAAAATAAAAATTAAAAAAAAGAATTAAAAAAAAAAATAACGAGTCCCTTAAATCCGAATTTCATTACATGTTTGACAAAAACCAGACATAGAATAAAGAAAACTATTCATAAGCCACAACTACACTACAAATTTTGATTTAAATGTAAGTTAGTAAATAAACATCTTAAACTAGCAGAACCAGCTGAGAGGATCATTCCAGAGGGAGAATCAGGTGTGGAAAAATGGGTGTTAGAATAGCGTACAAAGTCAAAAAAGAGGATCCCATGGCTGGTGAGAAATACTGAGACTAGGTCTGAGACCTGATGATACACAGCAATGGTTGCAAAGGTCCAGTAGGACCAGAGATGGCAGTCCTAAAACAGTACTGCCTGCAGAGGCAAGGGAAGTCCTTTGGAAGGGGAAGGCATCTCTGGGAGTATGATGATGATAAAATGAATGAGAGAAAAAGACAGCTGAAATTAAAGATCTTACACTGTAGAAGACAATACTTCTGAACTGAAGAATACACCAAGCATCTACACCTACTCTAAATAAGCCAATTATATTTTAAAAACCCATTTTACTGTACCCACAGAATAGGAAGCTGCTGAATTACAAACCAAACTTCCCCTACATAAAATCTATTGCTGATGCAGGAAAACACTACTCACCTAATATTTTTAAAATGGTACAACTGTGATTGTATAGAAGGTTATTCTTCATTTTTTAGGAAAGATGTACAACAAGACTGTAAGATAATGTAAAATACTTATGTATATATTTTGGTTACTTTTTTTTTTTCTATTTTTGGGCTTACTTTTTTCCCCAAATTTCTACTAGAAAATTTTTATACTCAGAGACAAGTTGGAAATAATGGCATAACAAATATATATATTCTCCATGTAAACCAAACTGTTGTTAACTTTTTGCCAGTTTGCCTTCTCTGTGTGTATATCTATATATTCACAATTTTACTTTTGTGCACCTTTTCCTAAAAGATACTTTTTAAGACACACAAAAGAATTCAAATTCAATGGACTTTTATTTCACAAAAATCTTTGTCAGTTTTAAGGATGACCTCTGTTTCATCCAATCAAATTTCAGTAGAATTATCACAATCACAATTTTTACCTCTTGGACATGACTGAATGAAAAATAATTACAATTTCATCTTCACCCGGGTTTTAAAACTGAGAAGAGCATACAATACCATCCATATCCACACATGTCCCTGATGTAAAATTCTTAACAAGATGGTGCATGTTGATAAAGAATCCATTATACTAATAGAAAAGAGAACTGCTAATGTTAATAGACTAAATAACCAGCTAATCTGAACCAGTGCTTTTGAAACTACATCTTACAGAAAGATAGAGCATATAAAATGGATTAGACACAGGCGTTTCGGGAGCTGCTCTGAAGAAGGGCTACGAGATGCTTCAAGTCCTACCTAAGTACTTTGTACTGTACCCCTCAGGTACCTTCTCAGTCCAGGGAATGGTTTGAATATTATTTTTTTAAAGGTTTTAGTTATTTATTCATGAGAGACAGAGAGAGAGACACAGGCAGACACACAGCAGAGGGAGAAGCAGGATCCATGCAGGGAGCCTGATGTGGGACCTGATCCCGAGACTCCAGGATCACGCCCCAGGGCAAAGAAGGCAGTGCTAAACCGCTGAGCTACCCAAGGATCCCTGAATATTATTTTGATGCAACTGCTGTTATGCAGATTGTTAAAATCAGAGTACGCTGACTCTTCAAAATACAGTAAGGAACTTTTTTTATGACAAATATCAATACAGCTTACAAAACAGAGGCTTTAAATATAAAGCAAACTTTGCAACTCTATATTCATCTCAAAATAACTATGCTTCACTATTTAAGTAAATGTATATCATACAAGTGTTTTTAAACAGAAGTTCTCAAATGTACCATATAAAATTTTTAAATATTTGCAGTGTTTAGCATTCATTAAGACCTTTTCATGAACAAAAAAACTATAATAAAATGCGTAAGATGATATAATAAAATGCGTAAATGTGAAATCAAAATGTTATCGCAAACAATAAAAAAAAAAGGAGAGACAGAAAGCAGTCATTATGCTCAAATAAATATAATTAGGAGGTATAGAAAACTCTGTACCTTTATGCGGGTTTTCAAACTCTTCAGATAAGAGGTGGTAGCAACAACCCACACTGCAAACTCCCTTGATTTCAGATTTGGAAGCAAATATTCGCAGAGTATTTGGAGCAAGATCACCGCAAGTATGTAAACCTACCATCAAACAATCCTTTAAAAATGAAAAGAAAAAATAAATTTTGGCATTAGTAAGAGGAAGGCTAAAAAAAATTTCAGGTGAAGATTTTAAATGTTCATTAGAATGTATGGGGCTTTTAAAAATGATCAGTCTACCTAGAAAGTAGTGTATGTTTTTAAATGAATAATTATTTCCTTTATAGGCAAAATGACTGTGATCTTTTATCATAACTAACACACTCTTGAGTTTATTTTCTAATGTTTTTGGTTACTTATCCATTTGAATTTTCTCTGATATCTTTTGCAACTAATATCTGCTTAACAACTAGCCCATATTAAAGACTGGACAATCAAATGAAGCATACATTAGGACAAATTTGTGAACTGAGACACAGTTACAGCTTCTTCAATATTTTTATTAAGTTCTTCACAAACTGCCTACCAAAACTTATAAAATGTTGTCATAGAGAATAGGTGGTACTAATTTGGCATTTCTACTCCAACACCAAGAGTATAGTTTATTCACTATATCAAATATGGCAATATGAAATTCAGGAAAAATTTTTTGTTTCAAATGTACACACATAAAGAATGTGTGTACAGAATGTGTGGGCACATACATGCAGTCAAAGATCTTAATATTTCAAGGACTCAGAAAACATTCTTCCAACTAATCTTGTATTAGACAGATTCTTATAATAGTTTAAATATAGCCTCTGATCATATTTCTTGGTCCTTTAGATTAATGTAACCAAATAAGATTAAGTCAAGTAAGCTTACTATTAAGATTTAATTCTATGTCTTAGAGCGTTTTTAAAAATGAAATTAAGGAATTCAAAAGTGAAATAACCTCCAGATCTTTAATAATATCACGCAGTTCCGAATCAGCAGTGATAAAAGATGTTAAAGGTGAATATATATTTGATTCATTTGACTTTGATGTCATTTTTCTTCTCTCTTTATTTGCTTCAGACATTTTTCTCTTAGGTGTTTGAAATGAAGTAGGTTCTACAGCATTAATAGGCAAAAGGTCTATAAGAGAAAAGGCATTTTCAAAACACAAGTTTTCTTCTCGATGTGAATACACGTGTAGGTTTTCCATTTGTACTCTAATGTTAGAAATTACAGAATCCGAAAAATCCGGCAAAAAATCTGAAGTAGACATCTTTTCTTGATTCGCAGGACTGCTGTTACATAGTCCCTCAATATCTACTTTATATTTAACTTCATCTTGTACTTTCCTATCTTTTGCCATTTTTAATGCCAGTCCATTAGCATCTAATTTTGACCGAGTATGGTAGGCTTTCCAATGTTTCTTCAATTTCCTGTTTCTCTCCTCAGCTCCATGAGTATTGGTATTTGATGAATCAATTCCATAAACTTTTAAGCCATACTTCAAGGACAAAAAAGAGCTTAGGTAGCCTTTCCCAGAACCCAGGTCAATTACCTAAAGTAAGAAAAACACAATGAATTAAAGGATTTTAGTCAGATGAGAACAGAAAGCATCTTCAGTACCTTTTTAAAAACCAAGTAGGGGCACCTAGGTGGCTCAGTTGGTTAAGCATCTTGCCTTCAGCTCAGGTCATGATCTGAGAGTCCTGGGATCAAGCCCCACTTCAGGCTCCCTGCTCACTGGGGAGTCTGCTTCTTCCTCTGCTCCTCCCTCCAGCTTGTGCACACGCTCTCTCTTCTCTCTCCCAAATAAATAAAATCTTTTTTTTTAAAAAAATTTAAGGGGCACCTGGGTGGCTCAGTAATTAAGCATCTGCCTTTGGTTCAGGTCGTGATCCCAGCTTCCTGGGATTGAGTCCCACATTGGGGTCCCTGCAGGAGGCCTGCTTCTCCCCCTGCCTGTGTCTCTGCCTCTCTCTCTGTGTCTTTCATGAATAAATAAAAATAAAATCTTAAAAAAAAATTTTAAGCAAGTAAAGAAATGGTTGTATAATTTATACAACCTGTTATGTTTGTTTTTTTTGTTTTAATTTTTGATTCCTATTAAAAAACAACCATTTTCATCATTTACATTCAACATTTTAAAAGAAGTTCTAGACAGTATAAAAAGTCAAGGAAAAGATGTAAAAGATATAAACATGGGAAAGAAAACTGTCTTTCTTCATAGATGACATGACTATGCAGAAAATCTAAAGGAATATACAAAACTAAAAGAATTAGCAAGTGAATTTAGCAATGCGTCAGGATACAGGATCATTAGAGATTAATAATGAAGCATCAGAACGTACACAATATAGCGGCAAAGGGCGACAATTAGAAAACAAATTTAAAACCAACTGAATTAAAATAGCAAAAAAAAATAGAATATCTAGGAATAAATTCAGTGAAGGTTCTGCATGGCCTATTCACTGAAAACTATAAAAGCAGAGAAAATATTTAAAAGATCTAAATAAAGATACACCATGTTCACAAAATGGCAGACTCAATATGAAGATGTCAATTTTCCCTGAAATGACTTACAGATTAAACACAATCCTGATCAAAATGCCAGCAAGGTCTCTTTAAAAAATTTAGAAGTAGATATTATAGTTTATACAAAAAGGCAGAATACCTAGAATAATCAAAATACTTTTGAAAAAGAATAAGGTTGGAAGGGACGCCCAGGTGGCTCAGCAGTTTGGCGCCTGCCTTCAGCCCAGGGTGTGATCCCGGGGTCAAGTCCTGCATTGGGCTCCCTGCAGGGAGCCTGCTTCTCCCTCTGCCTATGTCTCTGCCTCTCTCTCTCTCTCTCTCTCTCTCATGAATAAATAAAATATTTGCAAAAAAAGGTTGGAAGATATAACTTAATTCAGGAATTAATATAAAACTACAGTAATCAAAAAAATAAATAAATAAAACTACAGTAATCAAAGATAGCATAGTTCTGGTATAAAAATACATAAATAAATCAATGGAAAAGAACAGCATACAGAAATAGACCAACATTTATATAATCAACTGATATTTAACAAAATGGCTAAGGTAATCCAATAGACAAGATAACCTTTTCAACAAATGGTGCTGGTATAATGGATGTCTCCCTGGGGAAAAAAAATGCACTTTTCCTGTCACACAGCAAACACAAAACTTAATTAGAAGTGTATCCCAAATCTAAATGTGATAATAAAAACTACTAAAATCTGGAAGAAAGTATGAGAACATCTTTGTGACATTGAGAGGGGCAAAGATTTCTTATGTAGGACTTAAGAAGTATCTACTACAAAAGAACTAATTGAAAAAATGAACTTCATTAAAATTCAAATTTTTGCTATTTAAAACACATAGTTAAAAAAAAGAAGTATTTGCAAAACATACATCTGACCAATGATTTGTATCTGAAATATATAAGAACTCTTACAACTCAATAATAAGACAAACAACTTAAAAATTGGCAAAATATTTGAATGCACACTTCACAAAAGATACACAAATGGCCAACATGAAAAGATGTCCATCATCACTAGCTATCAGGGAAACGCAAACTAAAATCATAAGGACACATTCACAAATGTAAAGTGGTAAAGGCACTTTGAAAAACAATGGTGTGGCTCATCATAAAATTAAAATATACACCTATTATATGACCTACAAATCCCATTCTAGGCTATTTGCTGAAGATAAATGAAAACATGTCCACACAAAGTCTTATATGTGAATATTCATAGGAGCTTAAAAAAAAAAAAAAGGTAACATCACAAATGTCCATCAACCTGTGAATGGCAAAACAAATTGTAATAGCCATACCATTGCATAAAGAAAAACAAAGAATAAATACAAAAACATTGATGACTTTCAAGAGTTATGTGCTAAAGGAAACAATTCGAACACAGAAGTTCTCAATATATTTGATTCCATCTATATGATGTTCCAGAAATTCAAAATTACAAGTAGGTCAAGAGTGCCAGGCTAGCTCAGTCGGTAGCACATATGACTCTTGATCTCAGCGTAATGAGTTTGAGCCCTATGTTGGGGGTAGAGTTTACTTCGAAACAAAACTAAAAAACAACTACCAGCAGATCAGTTGTTACCTGAGAGTGGAAAAAGAAATATCTTACAGAAGGGCAAAAAAACTTTTTATGGTGACAAATATTTTTTTAATATGGTGGTGGTCACACAACTGCACACACCAAATTCATCAAAATGTACACCTAGAATTGGTGACTATGTAAATTATACCTCAATAGAACTAAAAACGAGAAATAAAATATTACCAAGATTGCTATTTTATTGCCATATCATTTCGTAAGAAATAAATGAAAAATTACAGTAAGACTATCCCAAGAAAACAGTATCTAATCTATGTCTATCCTAAAATCAGTTAAACTCTGATACAAGTATGAGCCCATTAAGGAGACATTTTTATATTTGAAGTAATGCCATTAATTAAATCCTTAAAAATTTTAGGGTCTTGTAATTCAAGGAGCTCATAGGTAAGACTCCCTATATAATCCCCATAAATAAGCTTACAAAGAATTCCCTCTATCCTTTTTTATGTTCATCTCTGGGCTAGGTGTTATAGGAAATATAGAAGCATTATATATATCTTAATTTTAAGGAATTACAGTCTAACTGGAGATACCATTCCCAGACTCATGAATACAAGGGCTATACAGTAGAAACTATTAATCAGTTCCTCCCTATCTGAATCTCCAGGGAAAACTTACTGAGGCTGATGACAACCTTAAAGTTAGCAACCAGTGGGTTGCTTATAAGCAGCAGCGCATTTGTTCCTACCAATGTTTTCTTACCAAGAGGTAACTGAGCTTGTTCATTTAACTGTTTATGGTGATTCTACTTGTGAATCAAAAATATTCTGGCTGCAAGTAATAGAACATCAAGTTTTGAACAAGGAAGAAAATTCACCTTACTTATGAAACCTGGCAGTAGAATGGCTGAACCACTCAGAGGCCAAACCACACAGAGCCCATGGGACATCTTATTTGTAATTCCTCTAGTTGTTAAGATGGCTGTAGAGACTCTAAGAATCATGTTTTCACAATATTATATTTAATAACCTTTTTCAGGGGCACCTGGGGTAGCTCAGAGGTTGAGCATCTGTCTTCGGCTCAGGCCGTGATTCCGGGGTCCAGGGATCCCCTGCAGGGAGCCTGCTTCTCCCTCTGCCTGTGTCTCTGCCTCTTTCTCTGTGTCTCTCATGAATAAATAAATAAAATCTTTAAAAAATTTAAAAATTAAAAAAAATAAATCTTTGTTAGTAGGCGACTTTTCCTAGGAAATCTGTGGGCTGACTTATCCTTCTATTTTATTAATCCATGTTGATTTACCCCTCTTCAAATTGGTCTTTTAGTAGAGTATGTAGCAGCAAGACAATGAAAACCACTATGCAATCAAGTAACAGAAGCCATACAACTTTTTGCCTTCAAACTATCTAGTCTGAATAGCAAAATCTCTCCCATTCTGATCTCCTACCCCTTACTCACAATAGTCTTTTCCTTCCTGATCATCTTATGGATTTGAAAATAAAGGATTCTCCAGTCCAAAGCCTGGTGGGAGGTATCTTCCTAGTCTCCTAATTCTGTTTAAGAGACTTTCCCACAGAAACATTGTTATACAGAGTGCTGACATTTCTTAACACTACTAGTACAGTAATGAACTTCATATAGAACAGTTATATTTTTTTGAGTTTGCCTTTTTTAATAAAAACTGTATTTAAGGCATACAACATGAGGGTTTTTTTTTTTTTTAAGATTTTATTTATTCATGAGAGACACAGAGAGAGAGGCAGAGACACAGGCAGAGGAAGAAGCAGGCTCCATGCAGGGAGCCCGATGTGGGACTCGACCCTGGGACTCCAGGATCACGCCCTGGGTTGAAGGCAGCCGCTCAACCACTGAGCCACCCAAGTGTCCCTTGTTTTGTTTTTAAATAAGGAGTTCAAAATATCTTTCTAAAAATCAGTTTCAGAGGTAGACTTTAGTGATTCATTGGTTGCATATAACATCTAGTGCCCATCACATTAAGTGCCCTCCTTAGTGCCCATCTCCCAATTATCCCTCCCCCTCTCCCCCAGCAACCCCCAGTTTGTTTCCTAGAGTTCAGAGTCTAGAAGAGTTATGTTTTATTGTCCAACCTACAGATCTAATCACCATTCTAAGCTAATGACTTTCAAATTTATAAAATTCCAGTACAAAATTCTCCCATGAACTTCATACTCCTATATGCAACAGTCTACTAAACATTTCCACATGAGTATCTAGTAAGAATCTCAAATTTAAGGTGTTCAAAACTAAGTTCTTGATATTCCCTGTAAAACCTGCTCTTCCCATAAGATACTCCATCATAGTCAGTAATATCTCCATACTTCTTTCCAGGTGGAAATTATGACTCCTTTCTTTCTCTCATACCCTCCATGTGAAATGCGAGCAAATCCATAATGTTCACAACCTGCTCTAAGCCTGGTTTACTGCAGCAACCTCCTCAATAGTCCCCCTGCTCCTTTCCCTCAAATCTACTCTCAGGAGAGCAAAACAAAGTCTGATCATACCACTCCTCTTAGCAAAATCTCTCATCAGCTCTTTAATCTTACCTCTTGCTTACTAACTTCCTTTGTTACTGGGATTTTTGCCTTAAGTCTGAATGAAACCTCTTCACATGCTCAGGGAGGAGCCAATTTCTGGAAAAAAACAACTTGAATGTCTACAAAGACTATGGATTAAAAAGTGCAAAGATAGTGAAAATATCTGCTTCGTAACAGCCCTCAGCACAGCAACCAGAGCGATCCGATGTGTTCAGTGGCTTCTCATCTCATTCAGGATAGAAGCCCAAAATATCACAATGGCTTCTAAGACTCTACAACTTTATGACCTGCCTTCTACCGCTCCAACCTCAGCTCCTACTACTTTGCCCTTGCTCTCTCCACTGCCGTTGATCTGGCTTTCAGGCTGTTTCAAGGACACACCAGACATACTCCTACTAGGGCCAGTGAGCATGTTAACCCTTCTATCTGAAAAGCTGTCAGTCCAGATATTCTAATGGGAAACTTTCTTACCTCCTGAAGGAGGTCTTTAACTCAAATGAATTTACCTCTTACTTGTTCCTCCCTTCCTAATCAAAAACTTTAATCTCCCATCTCTGAATTAGCTACTTCCTTTACTTTTAATTTTTTTTCTTTAAAGTATATCAACATATACAAAAAATACACTTATAATCATTTTATTATTAATCTCTCCCCATTAGAATATAAATGCCGTAAGGGCAAAGATATCATTAGTTTTTTTCACTACTGCATCCTCAGAATCTATAACAGTGCTGACACATGGTAGGAGCTAATGAAATACCTATTAAATGAATGAACAAACATATTTTAGAAATAAAAATTAAGAAGCCTTGGTAATGTGAGTGAGAGAAGCAAAGGTTTTTGGCATATAGAGAGCTATGTGGCTGAGGCAAAAAAAAATGAATTGTTTTGTTTCCTTCTTTGGTGTCTATGATCACTAGTAAATTAGGTATTTCAGAATCTGGTTTTCCATCTATCCTCATGAAATCTATATTTATTAAATCTGCATTTTAAACATAAAAGTTGTACATATATAATAGACTTTAAACTTTACTAATGTGAGAATCAAATACTGCTATAAAGTGGTCTTGAGAGAAAAACTTTGTAAGTCTTTAATTTAGATTATTTCATTCCCTAAGGAACAAGCCTCAGTGCTATATAATAAAGTTCTCTGAAAGCAGGTCTAACATGATACATTAAAATATTACAAATTTTTTTCTCTGCACTTTAGATATAATCTGCTATATGAATTTAGAGATATTTATTATGCGATATTTCATACAAATAAAGAATGAATGCAGTCTAAATGTAAAGTTATGAAGTACAACAAAAAAAAATCACACTTATCTTAGTTTGGGTTATCATGGAGCAGATTCTACAACAAAGATTTAAGTATAAGTGAATTATTTGGGAGAGAAGTAGAGAACTAAAAAAGCAGAAAGGAAGGCAGCCCAATAAAAGGTGTGCTATTAAGAAAGATAACATTTTAGGAGCTAGTGTAGAACACAAACCTCAGAATCATCCTACCTGAAATGTCAAGGAGCTGATGTATCTGTATTGAACTTTCATCAATCATTAATAAGGATGTTCAAGGATGTTCAAAGGGAAAAACTAATTCCCAGGACTTGTATATAAGTAGTGCTTTGCTTTGGCAGCCAGACAAAATCCATAGGGGGAAATGCAAATATTGCCAGATAGAAGGCAGGCTGGCACACCATGAAATGTCCAAGAATATCTGGGTTAGGCATCCAACAGTATCTGCTATAACAGTGAACCCACCAGCCATCATACGAATGAGAATGTGAGTTAACTCCACTGCACACAGCGATGTTTTCCATCCATATCTCATCTCACTGCTTCCTTGACCAGAAATAACAACTATTCTCAAATTACTGTTCATAATTCCCTTGCTTCTGTAATAGTTGTTTTGCATGCATTTTTTGTATTAAGAATATACCATTATTTTACGTTAAAGCTTAAAAAAATGGCATTATAAAATATGTAGTTGGGATGCCTGGGTAGCTCAGTGGTTGAGCATCTGCCTTCAGCTCTGGGCGTGATCCCGGAGCTAAAGTCCCCCATCAGGCTCCCACATCAGGCTTCCTGCAAGGAGCCTGCTTCTCCCTCTGCCTATGTCTCTGCCTCTCTCTGTGTCTCTCATGAATAAATAAATAAAATCTTAAAAACAAAATAAAATAAAACATGTAGTCTTCTGTAAAGTGTTTAAGTTTTCCACTCAATTTTACGTTTCTAATATCCATCCACGTAAATATGTATGGCAGTAGTTTAAATTGTACTCCAGCTGAGTAACAATGCCATAGTAAGCCAGTTACTGATCCAGATAGGTACCGCTAAGTATGATACATGAAAGAAAAGGTGGAAAGTTATTGCCTTAGCTCTTGCTTCTAGCCTCTACCCTAGAGAGCTATGTTATCACAAGTGGCTCCACATGCCTCACCCAAGTTGTGATAGTTTTCTAATCATCCTCAAACTCTCCACAAGTCTGGAAGAATCCATTGAAAAGATTCTAACACCTAACCGAAATTGAAGGAGGGAAGATTCTTCACTACCCCCTATAGATGTTCTTATAGAGATAAGAAAAATAACTTACTATTTTTATAGGTCAACATAGGCAATTTTTAAATTTTATTTTAACATCTGCTATCAGACACTACTATGTTTCATAAAAGCTACTTTTCACAACAGGAATCACTGTGATTCTGACACTGTGAAAGAATCCAAGTTCTAAAACATAGTTTCTTTGTGTTACTATAATGAGGCAGGTACCCCACACCACATCAGTAGCTCAGGTTCTGAGAACACCTAGCGGCAAACAATTTTGCAGAATGTCATTATATAACGCTGCCTCAAGTTGGAAACTTATGAAAGTTGTGGCAAAACATGAATAGTCATATCTATTTTTAGTTTAAATTTGTTATAGTCACACCATATTGGGCAATGAGAACATATATTTAAAGTGTCTGACATAACTAACATCAGCTATATTATTTAATGACATTTAAAGGCTAGATAGTAATTGTAGATAAGATGTAAATGATACAAAAAGAGGGCACTAATTTTAACACCTGAAAATACAAGGAAATTCTCTTACTTGCTTTATTCCACAGTAATCAGCAATACCACTGATCAGCTCTGACATAGCCTGAACTTCATGAGATTTTTTCAAATTCATAAATTCATCTAGTTTCACATTTTCACCTGAACAAAAATAAAACAAAATTAAAATATTGCTATGACAAAATATAACAAAAAAATCATCAGTTGATGTTCGTGTTTTCTGTAGTTATACATATGAAAATACTAAAGAGATTCCATTTTGTCTGCATGTTAGATTTCTATTAGTTTAGCTGCTATAAATCAAAATTTGAATTAAGAGCATAAATAGGAAGACCCATAGAACATTATTATTTTTTTTTTTAAACGTTCCTTAAGGGTCATCTGGGTGGATCAGTCAGTGAAGTATCTGCCTTTGGCTGGGATCCTGATCCCAGAGTCCTGGGATCCAGCCTTGTGTCAGGCTCCATACTCAGCAGACAGCTTGCTTCTCCCTCTGCCTCTATCCCTGTTAGTGCTCTCTCTTGACACTTCACTCTCAAATAAATAAATAAAATCTTAAACAGAAAATAGGACAAAAATGTTCCTTTACACAAAAAACAATTTGTGGAAAAGACTGATAGCTGGACTAAAATGTAGAGAAAAAATGTGGAGTTGTTCTGTATGACATGATGCTTAAGAAAACCTACTCATCTAAGTATAAGCCAATCTATCAGTGCTTATGTTAGAAGAGCGCAGATAGAAAAATAACACGTTGGAAAGAATGTAGGAACATATATGAACAGTATATCGCTTCTAGTACTAAAAAAACATACATACACACTTACCAGTTCTCTGTTTTTGACTTCCTCGAAGGGCTGTAAGCAACTGTTCAAAAGGAGTACATATTCCTAAGTTTTTTACAGAATAATATCTCACAGCCCGAGCAAAGGCTTCCACACTTATCAGCTTCTGGGAAGTTTCACAAAATATTTTGGGAAAATTGGTAATACCTAAAACAACCAGGATAAAAAGAGCAATGTTAGCAATATTTACTTAATGCTAATTTGTATGAAATTTTTAAAAAATAAATGAAAAACATTGGATCTTTACATCAAATTATAATATTTTCATTTTGGCGTGAATTTTAACAATATCTCTAATGGTTTCACTGTATTTATATTTAATCAATTAGTTATTTGTAGCACTCAGGTTTCTCTTAATAGTGTACAAAATTATATATCTAAATTCTAAATCAAAATTTGACCTTTTTCTTCCAAAAGCCAAAATTAAAAAAGAAAAAAAGAAAAATAAAAGTTTAAAATCCCACTACACCGTAATGCGGTCATTAAATTTATGAACGGTCCTGGCTGACCTACAACTGTGAAATTAAAGGCAGCCAGCCTGAGGCTCCTAGGTGGCTCAGTTGGTTAAGCGCCTGCCTTTGGCTCAGGTCATAATCCCAGGATCCTGGATGGAGCCCCATGGCCTGGCTCCCTGCTTGGTGGGGAGCCTGTTTCTCCCTCTTCCTCTGCTGCTCCCCCTGCTTGTGGTTGTTCTCTCTGTCAAATAAATAAATAAAATCTTAAAAAAAAAAAAAAAAGGTAATCAGCGTGCACTACACTGTTATTCCCTGTGCACACTGCATGTGGAACAATGGCAATATCCCCATTGGTATAAATGTTACTGTAAAAGACCATGCAGAAATCTTATGTACATATGTGTGTATATTCAATGCACTGTCAATATGAGTTTTAAAACTAGTCATGGTGGGACGCCTGGGTGGCTCAGTGGTTGAGCGTCTGCCTTCAGGTCAGGGTATGATCCCGGAATCCCAGGATCAGAGTCCTGCATCACGTGCCCTATGGGGAGCCTGCTTCTCCCTCTGCCTATGTCTCTGCCTCTGTGCGTCTTTCATGAATAAAGATATAAACTCTTTTTAAAAATATATATATATATTTTTAAGCTAGTCACAGTAAAATCAGGAAAAAAGAGTTAACATTCTTTCCCTGGTCAGTTTTAAGCCAGACATTCTATACGTTTACTGTAGGAACTATTGATTTCCAAATGCTCACTCACTAAGAAGAGTATGGTCAACCACCATACTACAAACATCCAGTGCCTCTCTGTGTGTGAGGATCATGTATCCTGTTGAACTCTGGTGTGGACACATCTCACCAAAGTGAACTATGTCATTTGCAGACAGAAGTTTTAAGAGAATTGGAGGATTCACTATGCTTTCTTTTCTCAGAATTGTAATCACTGAAGCATCTGTCAAGATGGAACCTGAGTCCCTGAGTGACTATGACGTGGATATTACTGTCAAACTACCATGGTCTGCAACACAGAGAAAAAAGTAAACCTCATTCTTTTTAGTCATTAAGTTTTTAGGTTTATTACTACAGCATAATCTCACCTATTCTGATAGAATAGGTGGAAACATATATGCACCCTGACAGATCTGCTTTTTATTTGCTCAATTTCATTTTTATGGCCATTTTTAATATACTTAATCTATTCAGGAAGCTCATAAAAAGATCACTTCAATGTGTCTGTAGTGGTTCAAATAAACTCTTTGGATAGTTCAGTCTAATAAAGTTCATTCACTGAAAATTACTTTTAATAATTAAAAAGCCCCATGCATCCAGTGTTTAAATCAAGGATTTAAAATGTTCATCTCATGAAAGAATGGTAAATCCAGAAAACAACTTTGGTTCTACCAGAGAACCCAAACTATACACTATGAAGTCTATTCTAGCATAGCTGACCCTCCATAGATACTTAAAAAATTATAAAAATTCATTTAAACACAAAGAATAATGATGACTCTAGCAAAAATTAAAAGAGGAAAATTGATGAAGTTTGCAAAATTCTAAATAAAAATTACATGGTTAAGATAGTATCTTTTTAAAGCTAATATCTATTAAGTTGTTGGTGGTAACACTGCATTAATTAATAAGAATAAAATTGGCAGAGACCTATAACTTCCATTTCTGAATCAACTAAATAGAAATTCAAGCTACAAAACTACTATAGTGAATTTAAGATATATTTTGTGTATTATATAGTTCTTTGGGTATTTTACAAACTGAATTTACTAACGCGGCCAAAAGTAATAAAATCCACATCAAAATATTTAGGCATGATACAAAGGGGGAAAACTCAGTCAACTATTAAGTGAGACTCTCAGGTTTAAAGGCAGTCTCAACATCCCCAAGTTCCAGGGCAGCAATTTCTTAGAGTGTGATAGAATAAGAGTATTAAATCTCAAGGTGCAGAGGGACTATTATAGTCAGTTATTGGACAATGCTGCCAACAGAAAGAAATGTGATGTTTCTGTTGGAAAAATAAAGGTTCATACCAACTTAACTATCCATTGAAAATACTTGAAAAAACCCAAGTCTAACCAGATCTAAATGTTGTTAATTTGATTTTAATTATAGGCCTTGCAGTAATTTCAGAAATTTGGAGATCTAAATTACAAAGCTATTATCTTTTTAATGATGCTTTTAAAAATATAATATAATATATATATATATAATAATATATATTATATATATTATAGTGTTCTGATTCCATCCATTAGTTTACATCCTTTAGGACTACACCAGTTTATTCAGATATATTTTATATATATATATAATATATATTAATATTTTATATGTATATAATATATAATAATATATTTTATATCATAGTGTTCTGATTCCATCCATTAGTTTACATCCTTTAGGGCTACACCAGTTTATTCAGATAGTCTAGAACCTGTGAAAAAAATCTTTCTGAATTACAGAAATACAGCTTCTGTACTGTTTTCAAGTAACCCAGCCTGTAACTTCCACCAGCAACTTTTAAAGATGGGGGGGGGGTATCATGTTCTTGTCTTCACTTCCACCTCTGATATAATATGTAATACAAGTTATGCGGCAATGGTAGCGGTCTATGTAGTCCTCACCACGCTTCTCTAGGTACCTGCAGTTTGGGTTCGGCAACTGGCAAAACAGAAACCACAGTGTTACTCATCCAATATTTAATTATTTATTAATTAGCTGGATTTTTTTACACAGAGAAAGTTTTGTTTTTAAATGTGTTGCCACTGCACCGGCATTTTATGTGGCTTGATTATTTTGTAAATATCTCCCCCTACTGGAAGAACCTGTTCTGCTTGATCGCATGTTGTCTTTACTCATTTTTTTGTACATCTTACATCACTATTGCACAGAGATTTCTTGTAATATAAGTTAATTGGGCATGACAGCAAGGGGAGTGAAGAGGCAGAGGAGAAGCTATTTTGTGTAAAAATGAGATTGAGATATCTCTATCTTTTCTTAAAAAAACCAGCAGAGATCAATGTACAAGGAGATAGAAAAATTATGTATACACATTGGATTATGAAAATCTCATGGTAAAGAAATGAATAATAACACTTCAAAACTAAATAAAATAGAAAAAATATACTTACATTTTACACAGTTTACATATTTACATTTTTTTAAGTTTTAAAAATAGTTATTTGAATGTTACCTAGCACTTTAAGGAAGAGTACTGTGTTAGGATTCATAATTCATCAGTATTATAACTAATATTTATTGTATATACACTACATGTCAGGCACCCTGCTCAATAGTTTACATTTAACAGAACAGTCTTAGGAAGTGATTACATAGTGCTCTTATTTACAGAGGAAGAAATTAAGAGGCTACATGTTAGTCATATTTGCAGACACCAAATGGCAAGGGATGTGACCCAAGGCAGTGATCAGCCCTTGCTGGTAATTCCCAAATTTGATAATTAGCATGCCACAGCAGTAAGTTCAGAAGGCAACAAATACAAACAGGAAAGACAGCAGTTAAAATTGCTAGGCAACTATTTGTCAGAATCAGGTCTAGCAAGAATTCCCTCTGGCAGAGATCCATACAATGGTAGTATCTTAAGATGGTTCATATTCACTTTGTTCATGTTCCTAATACTTTCACTTTACTTCTCTCGACACCTCCTGGTCTACCAGAAGTGATTATAAAGTTTCAAGAAATTTTAAAAGTAATTTTTACACACAGAACTGATGTCTCTGAAAAGGAAATAAAAAGATTTTATAATAAGATTCTGTCGTGGTATCTATTTCTAGAAATAAAACAACCCAACTGCTTCATGCCCAGTTGTAAAGCAACAATACCTTTGAATACCTGGTAGGCACTCAGTAGGGGATGAGTAGATGAAAAGGAATTCTTTAATGCACTTACTACTGCAGCATCACCTGCTCTACTAGGAGAAACGAATTCTAAGATTCTGTGGTGGTAGTGATCGCTGATGCCAGCTAGAGGACTCTGATAGCACTGCTGAGCCTGTTAGAATAAAATCTCATCTCAGTCCTAATGTCTACAATCATAAGGTGAGACAAGAGCAACTTAGAACATTTAGAATATGATACTAGATAAAATATAATCATGTGCTAAATAATGAGGCTTAACCGTGTTACAGGTGTTAGGACAAAGGTCGCTATTGCTATCACATAGCCTACAACTATCCCATGCCCTAGAATTTCAAGAAAAATCAACAGTGCCCTCTTAATAATAATCTTTAAAGGACATGGAAATGTTTTATGTTCATTTCTACATGAATCTCCTACAGGTGCCTCTAATTCAAAAGGTTCAAAATTGAAATGCACATTCTTAGGCTCTGCAAATCTCGCCTTTCTCTCCTATTTCCTATCTTGTTTAATAATGTACCTTGCTCACTCAGTGCTGAAGTTAAGTCTTTATATTATCTTAAATGCTCCCTGTGCCCTCAATCCACATATACAGTTATCCATCAATCTTAACGTAAAAATGTCTTTCACTGTGGAACTAACCACAGTCCCCTACTATCACTGCCAGAGTTCAAACTCTATTAACTCTCACCAGTGCTACTGCAATAGCTTCACAGGTGATTTTTTTTTTTTTTCTAATCGATAAAACTCCTATAGGCACAGTAAGTGCTCATAAATGTTGGCTGAGTTGACTGTGTTTTCCACAGG